GAGAGTAGTTGAGGGAATCTAGAGAGAGATAACAGAGGTTGACCTTAATCCTTACCAGCTGATCAGGAGTCAGAGGCTAATGCCCAATTTAACATTGTGCATCTGGTCTCATGTGTGGTACCAGAGGCTAAAAGCGAGTTACTGAATCCACTCTTGTACTCTTTGCCTGAGAATTCCACCCATTGCTAATGTCTTCATCTCCTGAATCCTTCTCACGGCTGGCTGATCCAGAATGAACTGCTTGGTCTCCTGATATTTGGTGGCAGATCTGGTCCAGAAGCAGTGGTGGCATTGTGCGAATGCAGAGCATATGGCGGAGTAACTGCGTATAGAAACACACCAAAAAGAGGGACATTTTTAAATGGAAGTTGACTGAAACTGTAGCTGTCAGCATACTAGCTTTCTGCTGCATTGAACAACCCTTTAATTGGGAATGGTGAACTAGCAAGCTGTGGTAATCTGGGAGCTTTGTTTTTAAGCTTTGCTAATGTCACTAGATATTAGTTTGCTCATTTCATAAAGATTTTTAAGATTTTATTGTTTAAAGACAATTTTTTTTCAACTAATATTTTCCAATTTGTCAAAATGCCAGGATATGGCAGTTGCCACATAACCAGCCGTGCCATCAGTGTCTTAATAAAATCTTGCATCCCTGACATAATAACTAATGACATAATAACAGGAGACGAAAACTCATATGCAGAAGTTTTATTTTGCCACCCAAACTGATCCCTGTGCATTAAATTGGCATTTTACCCCAAATGGCCAGGAGCTGCGGGGAGGGCCCAAAGTTTCATTACACACTTCTATAATCTAAGAACAGCTCAGCTAGTTTGCATTTAAGTCCCTGTAGTTATTGAATAAAAAGCCTTAGTATGTAATAAGACTCTCATTTAAAGGGGTTAATGTTATTTATCATGTCATGTGATATTCTGTTCTGTGGTTTGATAGAATTCACGCTTTTTTGCAGTCTGCAAAGTATTCCCTGTATTTCACACCTTGCCTTTATGTCCTTTTTGTCCATCAATATTTTTACACTACAATTCTCAGCATATATAACACAACTATATGATATAACCACTGGGAATTGCCTTCCATGGCAACAAAGAAATCCACTGATGCAGAGGTTAATAAATACAAACGCAGTGTTCGGCTTCCTAGCAGTAATGTTAGCTAAATGGCTTCCGTCTGCATTAACTAGTAAAACATCTCACCCTCAAATATCTGCCCCAAAGCACATGTAGTTTTGCAAAAGTTTCATCTGAAGGAGCTTTTCCTGCACACTTCAAAAATGTTTAATGGTTCTTTAGTAAACACAGTGGTTCTATTTGGAATCATGAGTTCTATATAGAACAATTTCATGCTTACATGGTTCTTTGGGTGGTGAAATGGTTCTTCAGATGTGTTGTGAAAATCTTCTAAGCCGCTTATCCTTCTGGGTCACGGGGGGAAGCTGGAGCCTATCCCAGCAGTCATTGTGCAGAAGGCAGGGTACACCCTGGACATCACAAGGCAGACACACAGACATATACAGGGTGTGGTGAAAACGATTTTTGAAAATTGTTTATATAGCAGCAAAAGGTTCTTACAATGTAAAGCTTAAAGTACCAGTTTTGTGTCTGTATAGAACCATATTTAAAAAGGTTCTATACAAATTAATTAATTATTGGTCAAATTACATGTCTTGTTAATTTCCTAACTGAAAATAAGTTAACACACTCTCTACAGGGGACAAACAGAAATATGGCACGCCTTAACAAATTTTACTGTACAATTTCTGTTGAAAATAAATGAATAAAACATTACATAAAATTTGCTATAACTTTTACACAGGCCACATATTATGTTTTTTATCATTTTTCTTAATATGTTAAATAAAGCAAACACACTATAATTGTGCATTAACATGTCCAGAAGTGTGTTCTTTGTGGAGAATGTGGGTAATTTGACCAGAGGTACCCAAGTTTTTGCATTCAACTGTTTAACAGCTGACATTTTCTAATGGTGTTTAAAAGTAAGAACAGAAAAAAATAACTCATAACATTCTTAAATTGAAGGTTCTTCAAGGGTTATTTAGTAAAGAAAATGGTTCTGTATAGAACCGTAAACACTCAAAGAACCCTCTGTATAAATAGAGGGTTCTTTGCGTGGTGAAAGGGTTTTTCAGGCTGGTGGGGAATTTGCTGGAGATAGTTCTACATAAAACCTTTTTGAAAATGGTTCAGCCTCACTTCATTAGGATAGTCCACTACAGTTCCCCATGGATTATCTACAGATGTTAAATTGTAACCTGTTGAAACTGTTGATTCTGACTCTGAAACTGTTGAGTCGATTCTTAATAGTGGTAGGGTTAGGGTTAGGATTTGGACCAGGGTAAGGTTTGGGTTTAGGTTTTGGGTTGAGGTTAAAGTTAGGATTAGAACCAGGTTTAGTGTTAAAGAAAATTATTGTCAATTTAGTAGATATTTAGTTGAGTGTAACTAAATCTACAAAGCATCTGAAGTGGATTATCCAAATAAATTGTTACCAATGGTTCTGTAAAGCATTCAAAAGGGTTCTTCTACTTTTACAAGCTTGACACTGTGACAATAGAGGATACTGTGAAATATCGATGGTTCTATACTAAATACAGTGTCTATACTAAATAAAGTGTAACCATCTGTAGCACAATTATACACATTCCCCATCAATCTGAAGAACCCTTTCATGATGCAAAGAACCCTTGCAGAGGGTTCTTTGAGTGTTCATGCTGCTATCTAGAACCATTTTCTTTACTAAAGAACCCTTGAAGCACCAAATTTTTTAAGAGTGAAGGATTACGCAAATGCAATATCCAGCCTTCTCTCTAAGGAAATCTTGTTCCTGCACATTGGCTCCCAGAGGTTATAGTGAACAGTGTGCGGGGTCGATTGGAGGACTATCCCGGGCCCCGATAACCATCTTCCCTCCCTTTTATCAACACTCCCTCAGAGCCTGATCATGTGTGCCTCATTCATGCCCCTCAAGCCCTCTCTCTGACTTGGCTTTCTTCTTTCCTCTCTTTCTCTTAGCACTGAACCACTCACACAAGCTTTTGGCACTTTGTGATCTTGATGTCCACAGTGCTGAGGTGGAGTTCTCAGTAATGTATTAATAGGTTTAGGGTGGCTTGCCTGTGATTTGTGAGGATGGCTTAAGAACGGAACTCACTGAAGCAGCATCTTTCTCGCCACTGCTTTATTGGTAATGATTATGGACCTGCTTTGATAGATCACACTAACAGCACCTACGCGCTCCTTTTTTTTCCCCCCGTTCGTATTGATTTGACTGATTTATGTCATCATTTGTTTACTGTGGATTGCGAGCAAAAGAGTCATTGAGGATAATGAAAGCGTCAATGTAATTAAGCCTGTTTACTCTGTTTGTGCTTTATTGTTGAATAGGGGCTTTAATTGGGCCTCTGGTAAGCAAGCTCGAGGGTGTTAGCGGAGTAATAAATGTCTGCCCTTTCGCAAAACTCCAAAGTCCAAAGTTGTCAGTGGTGCTGCTGCCAGAGCTGATTCAAAACACATTCAACTATGTCACCTTCAATTTAAGGAAGTGAAGAATAAGGATGTCGAAGTCAGAAGAGTGCTTTCGCAAAGTGCATTTGCTGAGCCAATAGGCTTTTGATGCCCCGTTTTTCTTTACCTGGGCAAAGAGCACAGGCTGGTGCAGAATACTAATCAAGTGAGCGATGTGTCTCAAGTGCGACCTCTGAACTTAAACACCCAAGCATGCATGCGATTTCACCCACCTGTCCTTCATGTGGGTGTCATTTTGTGGACATTATGGACACACAAATGTGTTTAGAAAGCAAGAATACCACTTATATCAGCATGTGGAAGGATGTCACCAAAGTCATTGGTGTTATTGGTTTCCAAATCAAGACTGAAGTATTAAAGCTTGTGTAGTTTATGTTTACAGGCGTACTTGATCTATGCCATCAATCATTACTCTCAGATTCAACTCATTTGCATACACCTACTCAGCCAAGTCTGTATTTTAGAATGCATGAACCTGCCAAGGTTCCTCACGGCATATACGCCTTGAAACGCCTCTTCTTATGCTTACATTTTGCTTAAATATTTCAAGTAGCTTGTTGGAACAAGTGGAGAAATTCTCTCAAAAGTGTAGACTAACTGATACCAGATTGGTGTTGCAAGTAAAACATTGGAATGTTGGAAATATTATATTGTAAAGGAAAATAAGCAAGCATAAAAACTTCGGGACTGGCAAAAAGAGCATATGCTAGCCTATACAAATATGTTTTCAGCACAACTAGTGCACAATTATTAATATATTGCATGTTATCATTTCCAGTATTTAGTCATCAGTTCCTTCACTGGATGTGACATGCACCATTGCATTGTCACCTACATGATATTAATGTGATTTTACTTATTTTTGTACCTCATATTATATTTCCTGATTGTTTTAGTATATTTTATTATATATCTCTACTTCTTCTGTTTATGCATCTGGAAAATAGCGTACAACAATATTGTTGCCCTTGTTTTGCTCTTTACTGTACTTTGTGCTGCTGTAATAAATGACTTTTTCTCTGGGATTAATAAAATCTATCTATCTATCTATCTATCTATCTATCTATCTATCTATCTAAGACACCCATTGCACTCCTAAAAGTATCTGGAATGCTATTCCAGAGTTTACGAGATCCTTGGAGTTTGCACTAAGCCTGCCTCAGCTGAGCAAAGTGGTCTAGATGGTCTATAGTTATTCTGAAGCCAGGCTATTAAAGAGTTTATGAACTTGCATATTTGAAACATTTCTTTTTTTTGTATGTTTACCCTGTAATTAAATGACAAAATCCTCATCGTTTGCATTGCCATATCAGAAGTGGTCTGTCTGACCTGTCTAATTAACTATGTACCTACTTGACATGTAAATTCAAATTGAATATCAAGGACAACTAGACCCTTGAAGGCTTAAGCATTCCTGTTTCTCTTTCCCTGATGCAGAAATGTCAGGCACTAGTGCGGATATCTCCCAAGTGCACTGGAAGCAGCAGTGGCTGGAGAACGGCACTCTTTTCTTCCACGTGTCCATGAGCAATCCGGAGCAGCTGGCCCAGGCCACACAGCCCACAGTGCGAGAACCTGCTCAGGGCCTACATGAGCACATGCACCTGCTGCACATCTCCGTCATGGTAAGTGCATTTCCTTTTTCGGACAAGAAAGGGGCTCCCAGACTTCCCCTCCGACACTTAGCCTTGGGGGGAATCCCTGCTTCCATCTCAAAGGGCGTTCAGATTCTGTAAAAGGGTTGAGGGAAGTTTCTACTAGCAGCCCTTCAAGCTCTCAATTTGACTTGAGGGAAAGAGTCTGTAGACTTGCTGGCGCTATGGCAGTGATATATCCTGAGATGCATTTTGATGTTTTGGCACAACCCTGTGGCAAAGAGCTAATTATATTATCACAAAAGGTAGAAAAGTTCAGCTAATTACATTCTTTTGAAATGGAGTGTTTGCTAACCCTTTAGAACCTAAGCCTGAAAGAGGCTGACTGGGCATCTCTTTACATTTTTGACTGTAACTTGGAAATATATTACATCATCATCAAGTGATCTATATGCTGTGATTCAACCCAAACTTTAATATATCAGTTATTATTACAAATTTTGATGATAGTAATATGCAAATGCATTTTAGCACCCAATTACACTTCCCATACTTCCCATATTTGGCAAACAAAGTTACTGGCATGTTCACAAATAGTTGACAACTTTTTGCCCGTTGGCTTTGTCAAGTTTTTGACCTTTTTCTTTTACACTTTTGTAGCAATTTCCACAAGAGGCAACATGTAGTAGACCATCACGAACAGTTAATAAACATGTCCAGGTGTCTATTGCCCCTTGTGTAAGAGAGGTAGATTTTTGCTACAGCCATATAAAAGGAAGAGATCAATGGGTGCATTTGATGACCTGAGGAAGCCTACAGGCAAAATGTTGTCAACTCTTTGCTTGGCAGTTCCTTTGTTTGCTAAATATGGGAAAAAGATCTGTACTTGATTCATAGAATTTCACTTGAAGTTGACTACCAGAAATTACTATTTTGGCATTTTTGCAAACCAGCAATTGGTCTAATTTTTTAGCAACCATCTTTTCTGAGTATGTTCTGATTTTAGGCTAAATGTTTTGTCTGAATGTCTAATGTTTGTTTCAAGCTTTGAAAAACAGTAGTGGGATGTGCTACAGTGTAAGTCTACTTTAAAAATAGTTTACTGCTCTACTGCTACACTGTCAGAAAAATAGGGAACTGAGCAGGTACAATTTTCATTCATCAAGATACCAACAATGAAAATGTACTCTCAAAGGTACAACGGTGGTTTTAAGGTTCAAATGTGCACCTTAAAAAAGTTTTCCCACGGCAAAAGTATGTTTTTGTACCTTTCCATAATCTAACATTTTAAAAGAGAACAATTAAATAAAAAAGTCAGGGTATATGGAATCCACACAAAATATAATTTCAATGGAATATGGTACAATTATGTTGCATAACTAAAGGTATTGACCACCCCAGTAACAAGAGGGCACCACCCTAGTGACAGTTTAGTACCATTTTTTCTAAGAGTGTATGTGTTGAACTGCAACCACAGCAATACTGGACGGTCTAAAGGTTAAGGCTAAAACCCTGCTTTGATTGGATCTGCTGAATGGTGTATGTGGTTCTCTGATTAGCTGCTGAGCGAAGACAACAAGAACATACAAAACATTCTAATCAAGCTAAGTTTAGCTAAGTTGTTTAGTTGTTATTAAGTCATTAAGTTAACTACCTAGATTTTAAACTACCTGTTCTTTAAACTGTCACAACTCTTTACATCTGTTTAAGGGAGTTAATGCATACCATTTTTTGTCTAACTTACCATCCCCTACACCTCTTTCCGGAAGTAAGCATGTGCATTAAGCAGATACAAAGCTTAGCAGGGTGAATAAGAACAAGACAAAGAAAAGGAATCGGAGGTCATACAAGGCCAACTTATTATTAGGCAAAACATCAGTCTAAAAGCTACTCTTTTTCTAATGTGTGAATTTCAAAATGTAGCAAAAAAACACACACAAAAATCCTTTGTACCCACAAGCCATGGGTGGCACGTGCCTCGAATTCCACACTTTTATGTATGAGGCATCTATTCACGGAGGCTACATCACAGGAAACACATGAATGAGTGTTTGTTCCTTTTAAGTTCTTCCACTTTGGAGCAGTGGATCCTAGTCGCTTGTACAGTAACTCCTTGATATATGCCTAGACACCCATTACCTCCCAGAAGATTGAGATCAAGCTTTGAACTTCTCACCACTGTCTATCTATGTGAAATTTCCCAAAGTTTCAACTTCATGCCACAATAATGAGATCGATGGAGACGAGCAAAGCCAGAGAGACAGTGTTAACAAGTCCCTGAACAACAATTAGCACTTGTTCTAAGACATATGACGCCGCAAGAGTATCATTTAAAAAAGACAAATTTAACTCAATGGATGGGTTGGTGCACCAGCAGCAGATTTTACGTAGTTGATGCCTTGACTGGACCAGCAATGGCCAATTGGCCGAGAAATGGACGAAGAACGTCCAGCAGCTAGATGGTAGAGAATCTTTCTCCAATTGCCCACCCCATCAGGGAACAAGCCGTACTAGTGTGTGTGGGTTATTGGCCCCAGGCATGCTGTGGCGTTTCGAGTGAGCATCATTAACTGTAATTCTGTCAGCTCTGTGACACATTCAAGGCACATGCTCTCTATTCTTCCACCACTGAGCTGTCACTCAGCTTCTTCTCCTCCCTCTGGTTCACTATCTGCAGCTTGATAAGCGCCGCTCTGAAGCACAGCTTCTGTCACGAAGATGTAGCCCAGAGATGTGTGATGAAAATGACTTCTTCTCTGCGAGTCACTCTGTGTGAATGTGTGAAGCTTCGTTTGGCAAATAAGCTCGTTGAAACCAAAGCTACCGAAGGCATGAACTGGATGCACTGTGTTAAATCTCTAACGTCAGTGCTGCTAACTTGACTCTAAGTGATATAGGTTTTATATATTTGCCCTGTTTAGGATACGAAAAGACTGGAATAGCGATGCACGGTTTGAGTAACACAAAGCACAGTGCAAAAAGTGCTTTGTGTACTTTAGAGTTACAATATTCACAGAATTTGCTGGTTAATTTGTTCCAATTCTACATTACTTTTTAACCCAATTCAACCTTATCTAATTGCCTCTTACAGCATTGCCTTAATAGTCTATAGATCAAAATTTTGAAATGTAAAGAGTAGGAATTCACCCTTTTCTGATGTGGTGTCTTGATGGTAGGGAGTTTTTTGGGGGGCAGGTTGATTTTTTTTGCCTGTAGCTTGATAGATAATATGACTGCCAGCAAGCCCAAATATTTGCTGCATTTTTTAGCCTCTGTATGAGTTGCTACTCTAGCAGTTGAAGGGGGATTCCCTATGGTTGAATGAAAGATGGAGTGTTTGTGTAATGCATTCTGGGTGTTGTAGTGAGAGAACATTAATGGACAAAAACATGAAAAGCGCAGAAAATCTTGAGTTCTGTCAAACCAGCGAGGCTGAAGGATGTAATGCTGGCAATAGAATATTCCATAAAATACTGACTGCTAGTTTTAGGCCTTGCTTGTACTAAACTGCTATGCCAGTAGAGATTTAGTCTCATGGGGCCAGACATGATCTCATAAAGATAATCATGGGGCAACAATCATGGGGCAAATTTAGGGCTAAATGTGGGAGGGAATGTGGATTTATTAGGGTAGAAACAAACTGAGTGTGAAATTTCTAAAGTAATCCAATACTTAATAGAGGCAGGGCTAAGTAAGGGGGGTGATGTGCTCATCAACGTTGTCTGAATGGCCTGTCGTTAGCCCATGGATGTAACATATGCTAAGTTAGCATGGCTGAAAGCCCCCTAAACACTTCAGTTAAGCCTCTGGAGCACATTATATGCAGCAAAAATAAACATTACCCCTTACAAGGAAGCAGTTCCATTAGCTAACAGTAGAGATTTGCTAGCTAGCTTGTTTACGTGTGTTATCAACTGTAGATGTAAAAGAATAAGTACTATAATAATTTGGTGGCAGGTTTTAGCTGGGGCATACTCTTGTTTGTCAATGATTTCATCACAGTTTAGCCCACAAAGTTTAATAAGTTGTTCCCAGATGTGAATTCTCATGACAAGATCACATCTGGCTCTGTTAGATTAGTGATGATTCACTATTGAAAATATCTTTTAGGTCAGGCTTAATCTGGGAATCTGGCCCTAGATGTGTTACATCTAATATTTATTTGAAGGCTGCATAAGGGTAAACCTAGTAAATTGTCATGTTTGCAGAATAATAATGATGATTTTGACATTGTAGGATTTATGCTTCTGCCACAAAAAGAACCATTCACAAATATACTACATCTTCAGTATTGCCAAGCTATTCAGCTATTTATCTGGCATAATCCTCATTTGCTTACTTGCTCAATGGGCAGCATAAACCATTTTCATGGTCAGTGTACCCTGATGTATTTCATGATCAAAACCTGGCTTACAGAAATTCTTCAAAGAGCCAGAAGCTCCTTGCTTTCATGTGCTTGAGATTTCTTCATTGATTTCTCAGTACAGCAGGGTGATTTGCACTCAGTTGCTTGTTACCCTAGTCAGAGCCTTGGAAAGGTTGATTTAAAACCCCAGAGAGGGCAGTTACATTTAATAGACCCAAGGATGATTGACCCACACTATAGTCTCCAAGACAACAGGGCCTCATTTATGTACTTATTATGAATATAAAGTATTTGCAGCTTGAGGTTTAGGGGCTAGAACTTCCTCCTGGCAGCCTTGATAACGTGTTAGACACTGTTGCTAAGCAAAAAGAGCAAATATTGTATTTTATGGTTCAGTTAAGGCGAGGGTAAGATAAGGTTGCTCTAGAAGCTTTGGTCAAGCCTTAAAAATAGTACTAGGAGCCAAACACTGCATGTGGATTCTGAAAACTTCGTAACCACATTAGAGTCAACCAGACAGCCTTACAAGTCTCATCTGATTCCATCACCAAAGACAACATTTTGGGTAACAAGCTAATCGTGCTGCATTAGGCACAATTACACAGGAGGAAAAAACAGAGGGTGGTTCGCATTATTCCACTTTAATTGGCACACTTGCCACTCA